CCCCCCCCCCCCCCCCCCCCCGACAGTTGTCAGTGGCACTGGAGGAGAAGTCGTCCCTTCAGGCGGAGACACGCTCTCTGAAGGAGAAGCTGAGCCGCTGCGACTCTCTGGACGCCTCCACCACTGCCATCACTGGCAAGAAGCTGCTGCTGCTGCAGAGTCAGATGGAGCAGCTTCAGGAGGAGAACTACAGGTACAGCCTGTACACACACACACACACACACACACACACACACACACACACACACACACACACACACACACACACAAAGTTTGATTTACTTAGGAAAACAGTCCAGGGATTCTACCTACAATTTAAGACAAATGTCACACTGTAAGTAGAAACATTCATCAGGCCTATAACATAATAGACACATTTACATAATTTGCTTAACATTGAAGAACGCTGGAGATTTTCAAAAAAAAATTAACATTTACAAGTTACATCGACATAAAATTAAACTGTTGTTGACTCACCTTGCCTCGTTTCATATCTGACACAAACCGCTGCTCCTCTCTCTTGTCCGTCTCAGACTGGAGAACAGCAGAGACGACATGCGTGTGCGGGGAGAGATACTGGAGCGCGAGGTGACCGACCTGCAGCAGCGTAACGAAGAGCTGACCAGTCTGGCGCAGGAGGCTCAGGCCCTCAAAGACGAGATGGACATTCTCAGGTGAGACCGCTAGTCTTCTTGCACTTGTACTCGATCAAGTTTGAATTTATCGTGGAAGTTACATCTTCTGGAATTGAGTTAAGTTCTTCATTGAGACATTGAAGTTCCATTTTGGCTGAAAAATATATCTGTTGTCTCTTTAAGGGATTAGTCTTTGATAGAAACCAACAATATGTTCTGTTTGATCACAGCTCGATGTGTTGTTCGACAACAATGGAGCTCTATGACACAGAGGAATAAGATACATGAATGAGCCACACCCTCGCACTGGGTGACATGTTGCTTCTTTATAACAATGAACACTGTAACTGATTTTCTTTAAGTCGATCCTCGCATGTTGCTTTGATGCTGTAAATACTCACAAGCTCGTATTTTTGCAGCTGGAAATAGTCCCCAACGATTTCCTCCTGCATGAGTAATGTTTGCTAAAAACTACCGTCTGTTTTAGGAAACAGCCTTTTTAAAAAATAAATGAATACATTTTTGAAGCTTTACATCTTCAGTAGGAATGAATAGGCTTTTAACTGAGAGCCAGGGACAGGGGAGGGAAGTCCAAAAGTGTTCAGAGAATTAACTGACATGTTGATGTCTATCTGGTCTTTTGGAGGGATTTCTTGACAGTATCAAAAAAGAGAATATCACCAGCTTTCTGTTTTTAAGATGTAGCTCATCTCTTATCACTTTACACTCACAGAAACAACTCCCACGCTGCCCACACACAGACGTCCATTCAGCCCCTCTCTCTGACCTCTGTGTATGATAATAGGAATTTCGTGCGTTGACTCTGGCTGGTGTGAGACTTGTTGGTTTTCAGTTGTTAAGTACATATCCACACGGATGTATTGTGTTTAACTAAAAGCCATGTTCCTGTGCCGGCACTTGACGCTCCTGATGCCCCCCCAGGCATTCGTCTGACCGGGTGAACCAGCTCGAGGCGATGGTGGAGACGTACAAGAGGAAACTGGAGGATCTTGGCGACCTGCGCAGACAGGTGCGCCTCCTGGAGGAGCGCAACACCGTGTACATGCAGCGCACCTGCGAGCTGGAGGAGGAGCTGCGCAGGGCCAACGCTGTCCGCAACCAGCTGGACACCTACAAGAGACAGGCAAGCTGTGGGCTGACAGGAGGAGGGAGAGTCATACTTGCTCCTGTGTTGACGTCCGGGAGATGTTTAACACATCGCTTTGGTTTTCTGCACGTCATTGGAGCACGTTGCAGTTTTTATAGAGCGCTCTTTCCAACACAGATTCTCGTGCTCTCTGACTTACAGGCTCATGAGCTCCACACCAAGCACTCGGCAGAGGCCATGAAAGCCGAGAAGTGGCAGTTTGAGTACAAGAACCTTCACGACAAATACGACGCGCTGCTGAAAGAGAAAGAAGTGAGTTTATGAACTGAACACTGTCGGGAAATAAAAGTCCAATTGTGGAACCACAGTGCTTTTACTGTGGTGTTTTATCAGCGTGTAGCATCTGTTTGTAGTGGATCTGTCTCATATCAAGATCACTCACTAAAAGCCCTGTCATCGTTTTACAAGGTGGAGTGATGTAGTTTTTATTTCAGTGATGGCAGTCCTTGCACGGATCCACATTCGCTGCAATGATCACAGGGCGCACAGGAGGAAACTGTTGCCAGGCAAATATCGTACTATTCTTCAGTGGACTCCCACGTCCAGTGTCAGTTCTAGCACCTTCTGCAATCTGACAGGAGTGATTAATGCCCTCGGTTACTTGTGGTAGTAATTAAGAAATACACACTGTCCCGACATGCGGTCTACATTTACATTCACTTCATCCATGTCGTACCAATCTCATTGATGTAGTGTGACAGTTTAGATGCAGGAGGAAACCCCTTACACCATGGGGCTCTGTAATGTAAAATGACTTTAGGTCTGTTTCCATGTGTCCTCAGGTGGTCTAACAGAAATAATTGTGCATTATTTTGTTTTTTTTTCATTATATATTAGTTTTATTTTATACCGGATTGACTTTATAGATTCTTAATAAGTGCTGAGCTGAAGCTGAGGGCGTATGTTGTGCTTTGCTCCTCAGCGTCTGATCTCAGAAAGAGACACACTTCGGGAAACAAACGATGAGCTCAGGTGTGCACAAGTCCAACAGAGGTGTCTGAGTGGAGCAGGTGAGTTGTAATTGCACTGAGTCAAGAAGTAAAGAAGTAAATTAAACAGTAATCTGGTAAAAAATATGTCATAGAAAACATGTTGTCCTTTTGTCACGCTGTGATCCATCAGTAAACTCAGCTTTCACAATTTTGGAGCAGCAGTTTGTGTTTGTGTCTGAAGGTGAAAATACAAATAATTAAAACAAAATTGGAAAGATAATTGTAACAGATGCAACTGAATTTTTTTTTATCACAGTAATAATTATAATTGTAATAATTTATTCATCCAAAAGAGCATTAATCAAAATCTTGCTGGGAAAGTGAAATATTTCTCAGCTGCTGAAGCTATTTTATTAAAATCTGTTGACACTTAATCCGTCTCTTTCTCTCCACAGGAGGTCTGTGCGACAGTGGTGTCACAGTGGGAAACCTTGCTGCAGAGATCATGCCTACTGAGCTCAAGTATGTGTGTTGTTATTAATATTCTCTGTATGTCTGTGTATAAGCTGCGCTGTGGAGGGGTTAACGTGTGCCATAGCAGTCAAATTTGGGCGTAACAAATGAGATTTGCCCTCTAAACCTGGGACTGGTGTCATTATCAGTGGCCCACTCGTACCCTATATTCATCCTCTACAGCCTGAGATAAACGGCTCAGACCTGCTAACACGACCACAAAAGCAAAAGTTTATTTTTAGAACTTGAATGTGCACTTGGCATCTCAAATAGTGACACATGGCAGCGCTGCACATTTGGCCTGGGCGTTGTCGTAGAGAGGGCTGGGTCAACTCGGCAAAGCTTTTTTTTTTCTCTCTCTCTCTGACCCACTTCATCTGTCCCCCATTTCCTCCACTTTCTCCTTCCCCCTTTGTTTCACCTCCTACTCCCTCCCTCTCTCGGTCTCTGCTCGCTCCTTGGACAGGGAGACGGTGGTGCGTCTGCAGAGTGAAAACAAGATGTTGTGTGTCCAGGAGGAGACCTACAGGCAGAAACTAGTGGAGGTGCAGGCTGAGCTGGAGGAGGCTCAGCGCAGCAAGAACACCCTGGAAACTCAGAACAGGTAGTGTGTGTTTGTGTGTGTGTGTGTGTCCTCAACATACAGTCCAACTTCTTGTTCAGCAGTGTTAAATAATCATCCCCCTTCCAGGTCGCCATATTGTATGTTCCTGGACATTAATCTGGTTGTTTGGCTGATAGTAGGAGTGAGATCTGCCTAAATGTCAACTCACCCTCTGGACTGTGTGCTCAACTGAGCTGTGTGGGCTGGACTAGAGGACAGACAGCAGAAAGCCAGATTGTCCCTTGACTGTATGTGTGTGTGTGTGTGTGTGTTTACATGCCTGTGGGCATGTGGACATGTGGGTGGACTGTGTGTGTGTGTGGCTGTGTGTGTGTGTGTGTGGCTGTGTGTGTGGCTGTGTATGTGTCCAATGCAACACCAGGCCCAGGGTGTGGGAAGCATCCTCAGCAACAGTAACAGGAGGAGAGGAGTGGAGTGAGCATGCTCAGTAGAGCAGAGCGGTGAATGGTCAGGCAGCACACTTGGTGGAATGGATGAACGCTGCCTGCAGCAGATGTACAAGGATCCACATGATACTTTGCAAACATCTTCCACCCACAGAAGCGGCTTAATAACCTTGTGTTTTATCTTCCCTCTTTTGTTTTCACATCTTCTATCATCCCCCTGCTTTTTGTTTGTGGCTCTCTCCACAATGTTCCTTAAACCTTCTTATTTTCTCTCTGTTTCTTGTATCTGTGCTCTTTCTGTTTTTGTGTCCTTCTCTGTTCCCAACCTTTTTCTCCTCGTCCCTTCCCTCTCAAGGTTGAACCAGCAGCAGATCTCAGAGCTGCGTTCTCAGATCGAGGAGCTCCAGAGAGCGCTCCAGGAGCAGGACAGCAAGACGGAGGATGTGAGTTGAGAGACAGCTGCGTCCTTCTCCTCTGCCCACTGTCGTCAATTCACACTTACAAACTTCCCTCATCACAAATCATAGTTAACAGAATAAGTTGAGACTAGATACACAACTAGATCCTGTTGCCTTGATCAGATAATCAAAGCAAAAAGAATTACTATTATTATTATTATTAATTTGGGTTAAATTGACAAATTTGGGAAACTGATTCATATATTCCTTGTATTGTAAGTAAAATTATTTTTGAAGCACTGATGTTTTATCAAACACTCACTATGTGTAAAAGTTAAATGTTTGCATGGCACGTTGAGTTTATTGCAACAGATAGCTGTTGAACACACTTGGCTGTCGAGGACTGCAGTGTCTGTTCTCCTACTTTATTGATAATGTTGTGTGGGAATTTAACCCAAGTCTGCTGTGGTGATTCACTGTTAACGCCTGCCCCTCTCTGTCTGTCTCTCTCCGCCTGCCCCCATCGATCAACTCTGCCAAAATCAGGCTATCGTAAGTACGGCCCACCCTCCGTCCAACTGGCCCATGATTTAACTCTTTGACAGCTTGACTTTCACAATGTGTGTGTGTGTGTGTGTTTGTTTGTTTGTTTATGAAAACCTTATGAGTTTAGAGTTTAATGTTTTTTTTTTCCCCTTTTTCTTAGTCCTCCTTATTGAAGAAAAAGCTTGAGGAGCATTTGTAAGTACTTCACTTCTGCTTGCTTCATTTATCCATGTGTGCTCAAACATAAATTCACACACTCTTGTTGTGTGATTATCTCAGGGAGAAGCTCCATGAAGCTCACACAGATCTTCAAAAGAAAAGAGAAGTCATCGATGACCTGGAGCCCAAAGTGGACAGCAACAGTAAGTCATTACTTAAAAAAAAATGTCATGTCATGCTTCTTCCTTTCTTCTCTTCCTAAACACTTTTTATCTTCCTCCCTCTCAGTGGCGAAGAAGATCGATGAACTTCAGGAGATCCTGCGGAAGAAGGACGAGGACATGAAGCAGATGGAGGAGCGATACAAACGCTACGTGGAGAAGGCGAGAACGGTCAGTCCACCTAAACAGAACATGTTGTCCTCAGCATGTGGCTCTAAATAGGAAATAAGGGGTTGTTTTTTTTTGTTTTTTTTTTTTTTTACTGGTTAAAGGGGAACTCCACTGATTTTCTTTTTTTCTTTTTTTTAACACGTCCAAATCTGTTTACAGTTGTTGGGGATTTCTATTACCTACGTGAAAGAAGTTGTATATATAAACTTGTGAAAATATGTCACTTGAGTCAGTGTTGGTTTGAAAATGGAAAGAAAAAAAAAGAAAAAAAAAATCTTGAAGTGTGGAGATAGAAAGAGGTGAGCTTGCAGATCTCTGTAGCTCCCTCCTCGTATCTGCTTGAGGCTCACAGCTGCTACAGGAACGACACACTCAAATCAGCCAAAAGATGAAATTTCTGGTTCTGCTGCATCAGTTTTAACTATTTTTTTTGTTTGTTTTTAAAGAGCTCTCCATCGTGAGTCCGTCAGTGTTAATCAGTAGGTTTCTCTTGTGTGCAGGTGATCAAAACCCTGGATCCCAAGCAGCTGCCAGTGACCGCGACTCCTGACGTTCAGGCTCTGAAGAACCAGCTGGCAGAGAAGGAGAGAAAAATCCACCACCTCGAAGTACGAACCTTTTTTTTTTAACGCAAAAAAAGTCACAAATGAGAGGGTTACTCTGGCTCCGTTAAATCTCACTAATGCACGATGATCTGTTCCTTTGCCCAGCACGACTATGAGAAGAGCAGAGCCAGACACGACCAAGAGGAGAAACTCATCATTACTGCCTGGTACAACATGGTAAGTGAAGCGCACAGATGCATAGAAACACGTCGACGGAATAGCAGCATTTTTATCGTTTTTCATATGGAAAAAAAAACTGGACAAATCATCTGGACAAGACGATGACCGTTCACTCTTCCTTCGCCTCTCTCTTTCTCAGGGGATGGCGTTGCATCAGAAAGTGTCCGGCGAGCGCCTGGGACCGTCCAACCAGGCCATGTCCTTCCTGGCTCAGCAGAGGCAGTCCACCAACGCCAGGAGGGGCCTGACACGACACCACCATTAAGGGGGGGGGGGGGGACAAAAACAAACGTCCAGGCAGGAGAAGAAAAACATGCAGAAACGAAGCATAGAGAAGATGAAGTGATTTGCTGGAAACTTCATGTGAACTCCCTGTAACTGCCTTTATGCCTTCACTGGATTGCTGCACCTCAGAGTATTTTCAATGCTGCTGCTGCCCCCTGCTGGCTCCTAGTGGTCCGAGAATTTTTTATTTTTATTTTCTCCGTGGATCCCCAGAGGAGAGAGATACTACTGTGTTTAACTCTGCTGTTGATTAAATCCAGAGTTGAGCCATAGAAACAAATGGAAACTACTGGAGTAGAAGGAGTTGCAGGGTCTGAAAAGAGGCTGCCTCACCTTTTAAGGTGACATTTATTTCCTCTTTATCCTCTTGTACTCACTCTTGTTTCTTAAAGTCTCTTAAATTTCTTTTACATATATTTTATGTTATACAATAGGTTGGAATATGAACTAGTTTTGTCAAGGTAACAGTTTAAATGTGGCAGGCAAGGGAGGAGTTATTAGGGGTAATGCATTTACTATTGTTAATGCTAAAGAGGACAAAGCTACACAAGTTACAGACTGAACTCACACTCAGCCGTTAGTACATCTCATTGGTTTTGTTTGTTTGTTTTTGAATTTTCTCATAGTTTTTTTTGGTTTTCTAGATCATGTGTTTTCAGTTGATGTTTTTGATTTGTTTTAATCTGAAGGACACTGAAAAGACCATGAGGGTTGCTTAATGGCTTTAATCTTTTTTTCACTTGAACCTTTTTTTTTTTTCTCTAAACTTAATATTCATAAAAAATAACTTACTAGAGTTTTCACAAGATACACCAAAGCACTTTCTCTCTAGATGGAGCGGTGGGTTTGTTCAGTGCCTCGCTAAAAACCATGGATGACACTGAAGTTTGAGATATTTGCATTGTCGACCCCGTCTCCCTGTCTCATTTGGCAGAAATATATTTTACTTAAAGAATACTGCAGGTTTATTTTCTTATGCCTGGTGATAATGTGACTTCCACATATGATATTCTCAACAATGTTCTCATTTGTTGCGTATGATTTTTGATTTATTGCTTCTTTTTTTTTTCTCATTCCCTTTCCCTCTTCCCAAAGATTGAAACAGGGTGTTGGTTTTGGGTACGACCTAATTGCACACACCACTTTAGACTGATGTGAACATGGGCAACTAGAAGGCCTCTTAGTTTATCACAAGGACTGGAAAACACAATTTGAGTCCGTAATTACAACAACACTAAAAACAATGACTCAGCTAATGGTTGTTTACCACCAACCTCATTTACAGTTCATCTGAACTGGAAGGAAATGTATTCAACGGTACACTGGAATTCTTTTGTTGTCTGTTGACAGGAAGTCAGAGGCCGATACAAAAGGTGGAGTCTGCACTAGATAGCTCATTTATCCACACTGCATCTGCCTTTATTCACTACAGGTTAATTCCCCTTTTCAGCAGATGTAGTAACTTTAGACTGTCCCATATCAGAGCTGCTGTTTCATGACTTGTACTTGTTCCCTGTAAATGTTCGTGCTATGATCTACACAGACCAGGATCCTGCTGTTGTGTGCACATGTGTTTTCTACTGATGTTTCATTATTTTAAGTTGATATTTATGGTGTTAAGTCATTATCTTTGATGCACATTTGCATGGCTTGAAGGGTTTAATGTTGAGGTTGTCTGTGTTTGTTTGTATCATTATAATGGTCGAGTAGATTATAGCATACGGTACTTCACATGGGGATAGAGGCACATTGAAGATTTGTAGTCCTGTCTGTTCTACTTTTGCACTACAAATAAATGGGATCTTAAGAATTTTTGTCTGGTGTTGTCTTCATTAATAAGTTCAAAGAAAAAAGAAATTGCCTACACTAACTAAACCATAAATAAATGCTTCTTCAGAAGAATCTGAAGGTTTTATCAGCTTGTTCATTCTGGTGGAACTAAAGGTCAGACTGATTAGTCACACTTCTCACATCCTTTCGTGCAGCTGTTGAACAGTTAGGTAAAATGGTGATGGTATTCTTTATCTATCACATCACTTTCAATATGCACATCTCAAAGACTTGATAACTGACAAATCTAAACGTACAAACAAAATGAGAAATACAGCACTTCACTGCACTTGTTTTGTTTAATTTTGAAATTTGCAGTTCAGTTCTTAACTTTAATTTTCTAAGTGAGATGCATCCAAGAATGAACATAGCTCACCATAGTTCATCTTGACTTTTAATTACCTGAAATCCAGTGTGATAAGTAATAGACAGTCTTAATTTCAACCTCATTCTACTTGCAATTAATATATGATTTTAGTAATTCCCAAGGCAACAGGTCAAATGGGTAGATATCAGCTATAATATACCACATTAAGAAGAACAATCCAAAAGTAAATGTGCACCTAAGATAAGATAGTCGTTCATGAGTCCCACCAAGGACGTAGGTTTGCACAGTATTTCGGGAGGGCAGAATTGTCCCCACCAATATTTGAGTGAACTTGTTCACACTATGTTTAAAGTAAAGTCATATTAGATCATTGAATGTGCTCTCAAAGAGGCTATGTCTCCAGCCAATCAAATGCTAGCATTTGATTGGCTGAAAGGGCACAATATTACAGTGGTACCTGACATCACCAGAAGAAGCTACCTTTAACTAGCAAGCTAACCCTGGCTTCTGGCTTCTGTATGCTAGCAGTCAGTTTGCTAGCAGGAGTGAACATAAAATGTGAGATGTATCAAAGTATGAAAAATCCCATGAAAATGTCACAATGAATGTTATGACTTTTTTTTATACCTTACTATTCTATGATGTGTTTATACCTTAGTATACTATGACTTTTTATGCCCTAATATACTGTCTTTTTTAGACCTTAGTATACTACAACATTTTTTGCCTTGTTATAATATGACATCTTTTTATGCCTTATGCATTTTTGTGCTTTACTATACTAAGATGTTTTTATGACACTGTATGCCTTATTCTGACTTGTTTAGCCTTACTATACTATGACTTTTAATGCCTTGATTAACTATGACTTTTTATGCCTTCCTATGCTATGATGTTTTTATAACTTAATATTTTTAAGACTTTTTTTTGCCTTATACACGATTACGTTTTTATGCCTTACTATACTATGTCTTTTTTATACCTTACTATACCACGACATTTTTGCCTAAATGTACTAAAACCTTCAATGACTTGCTATTTTTAAGAATTCTTTATACCTTACATTCCTTTTTTGGGCTTACGTTTGTATGCCTTACTATAATATGACTTTTTATGACATACTATACTATGACTTTTTTATGCTTTACTATACTGTGACTTTTTCATGCCTTATTGTACTCTGATGTTTTTATGACTTGTTACATTATGACTTTTTATGCCTTACTATACTGTGACTTTTTTGCCTTAATATACTAAGAATTTTTATGACTTGCTATTTTTAAGAATTCTTTGTACCTTGCATTCCTATGACTTTTTGGGCTTACGTTTTTATGCCTTACTATAATATGACTTTTTATGACATACTATACCATGACTTTTTTATGTCTTATTGTACTGTGATGTTTTTATGCCTTACTATACTATGACGTTTTCATCAAAATTTTTTACCTTACTATACTTTCAATTTTTTATGCCTTACTATACTATGACTTTTTTGTCTTGCTATGATGTTTTTAAGACGTTCCGTGCATTACTATAGTATGACTTTTTATGCCTTATTGTAGTATAATGTTTTTATGCCTTACTATACTATGACTTTTTATGACTTATTATACTATGACTTTTTTCATGCCGTTTTATACTAAGACTTTTTTATGCCTTACTATACTATGATTTTTTTTGCCTTGCTATACTTTGACGTTTTTATGACTTACTACATTATGACATTTTTATAACTTTTTATGCCTTACTATACTATGACTTTTTTATGATATATGATTTTTTATGCCCTAATATACTGTGACTTTTTATGCCTTATTATACTATGACTTTTTTATGACTTTTTATGCCTTACTATACTATGACGTTTTTATAACTTTTTATGCCTTACTATACTATGACTTTTTTATGACTTTTTATGCCTTACTATACTATGACTTTTTTATGGCTTTGTATGCCTTACTATACTATGACTTTTTTATGACTTTTTATGCCTTACTATACTATGACTTTTATGAATTTTTATGCCTTACTATACTATGACGTTTTTATGACTTACTATACTATGACTTTTTTATGACTTTTTATGCCTTACTATACAATGACGTTTTTATGACTTACTATACTATGACTTTTTTATGACTTTTTTTGCCATACTGTACTATGACTTTTTTATGGCTTTTTATGCCTTACTATACTATGACTTTTTTATGACTTTTTATGCCTTATGACTTTTTTTATGACTTTTTATGCATTACTATACTATGACGTTTTCATGACTTTTTATGCCTTACTATACTATGACTTTTTTATGACTTTTTATGCCTTACTATACTATGACTTTTT